ACCACTGCCCAGCTATTCATCCACTTTGAATTACATTTTTATTTACTCATTCACATAAAAAGAGAAAAAAGAAACTATGATGGAGTTCAAACTCATGGGAAAAAGTAGGGTTCTTTTCATATACTATATTTTGACCATATTTTCCCCTACTCCAATCCCTCCCAGAAAAAAAAATATTGTTGAAAAAATTTTTTCAATAGAAAGTATCTTTATCTCTTCTTTCATGACTCATGTCCTTTTGCCTGCATTCTGTCCTTCTTTTTCACCTAATGCTATCTTCTCTTGGTCTCCTTTTTAAATTTATACTATATCCACACTTATACCTGCATATATATATATATATGTATACATTATAAATTAGGATCTGTATATAAGGGAGAACATGAAAATTGAAAACAGAATTGCCATACGACCCGGCTGTTCTCCTCTTGGTGTTGGAGTCCACTGAGGTTTCCTAGTAGTTTCATCCAGTAGGACTTCATAAGAGGATGATTGGGCCATGGGCCTGGGTACCAGGTGTTTGGAAGGGTCCACATTTGGCTGTACCTAGCAAGGGGGAGGTCTTATGCCCTGCCCCTTGGCATTGTTATAAGAATCCCTTTTGAATAAAGTTCTGGGCCAGTGGATAAGGATCCAGGCCCACTCGAGTTTATCCTGTGTTTCTGTTTCTCTCCCCTGTTTATTTCTACCCATCCATCTCTTATTCCTCATTCCTCAAGAGTCTCTGGGGTAAATAAATGTGGGAGCTGGTCTCCCACATCCTGGGGTGTATATCCAAAGAACTCCATATTATATCACATCATGTTTATTGCTGCGCTATCTATGATAGCAGGGATATGGAACTGGCCTGAATGTCCACTAACAGGTGAAGAGATAATGAAAATGAGGTTCTCTGTGGAATATTATTCAGCTTTAAAGAAAAATAAAATGATGACATTTTCAGGGATATGTATGGGTCTGGAAAGTGTAATATTAAATAAGTGTATAATCCAGACTCAGAAAGAAAAGCCACATGTTAATATGTATTGTTTTTAATTAACACAACTATTGGATGGGATCCATACAGTGGAATTCAGTATGGTATTTTATTATATGTAAACGCTGTATCAGATAGCATGGTTGTTGGCATATCTGTTTTCCTTAAACACTTACCGTGTCAAAATCCTTTCTACCAGAGCTGAGGAGATTGGCTCACTTGGTAAAACGCTTGCTGTGCGAGCATGCAGATCTGAGTTCAGATTCCCAGGATCCACCTAGAGAGCTGCCTGTGGTAACATGTGCCCATGTTCCCAGTGTGGGAAGGTAGAGACAAATCGATATAGTCTCTGGAGCTTGCTGGCCAGCTAGGCTCGCCAGTGAGGAAGATAGCCCAACTCCACCCTCTGGGCTCCACAGGCATGTGCACCTGCACCCACAAGTGTGCTCAGAAACCCAGGGATGCTGGCTGCACACACACTCTGTTGTTTTTCTTTATAACTGTGGCTGCCTTTTAAGCAATGGCTGTCGTAATCAGCAACTGCAACTCCGCTGCTTGGACAGATGGAGTCCAGCTCCGATCTGTCCAAGGGTTCTTGGGAGAAGAGAGAGGAATGAGAAAGTACTAGATAGAAATACAGGGAGAGACGACAAGAAAGACAGAGACACAGGATGGCTTCGGGAGGGCCCTGGGTCAATACACAGCTGCCTCAAGATTTATTCTAATGGGCTTTTTTTTTTTTTTTTTTTTTTTGAGACAGGGTTTCTCTGTGTAGTTTTGGTGCCTATCCTGGATCTCACGCTGTAGACCACACTGACCTCGAACTCACAGAGACTCTCCTGGCTCTGCCTCCCAAGTGCTGGGATTAAAGGTGTGCGCCACCATGGTCCAGCTCTAATGGGCTTTTTATATACTGCCAAGGGGAAAGGCAAAAGACTTCCCCCTTTCAAAATCAAAGCACATTGTACAGACAAGTGTAGCTCCTTCAAAACACCTGGTAACCACGCCCATGGCCAAATCATCCCATTATGCAGCCCTGCTGGGTAAAGCAAGCTTAGATTCTCTGTTCTTGAGTCAGGTCTTACTAGGGAGCCTCTGTGGGACCCCACATACTGCTACCAGTAGCAGTTTGGCCTCAAGGGCCGCAGCCTGAGGGATTTATGTTCCCTCAGCCACCAACTCTTTCAAAACTAGGAAGGGAACTTATCTAAATTCCTGTCTCTCTAAAGAACTCAAGATTCAGAGGTCGAGGGAGAATTCTGCTCACTCAGAGAGGCTGAATAGCAAGTAGTTCACCTCCTCTCCTTGCTCGTGTCTCCCCAAAAGCCGGGCGCCCTTCTCCCAGCCCCCACTTAAAAGTCCTTCTCCACCTGGTTCCTCCCTACCGCTTCCTGTCAGCTAGTTGCTGACGCAGCCTCCTGACTGCAGGTGAATTTTATTTAATTAACCAAATATAACACGTCTTTGCATCATTAAACAAATGTTCCAGAGCATAAACAAAGGAACACACCTTAAAATAATAGTCTGCCACACAGTCTTCTATACTAGTTATTTAAAAGTATGTACAAATATTAATTATTAGATGATTCAAAAAAAAACCTAGTGGCTATATATAAATATATATCCATCCACAGGAATCAAAATCAGTGTACAGAGATAGCACTGTGCCTTTGTTTACTGAGTCACTGTTCACAATAGCCAGTTTACAGAATCAGCCTATTTGCCCATCAGTGGATGCATGAATAAAGAAAATAGGCTATAGAAAGACAATGGTGTATAATTCAGCCATGAGAATGAAAGTGAGGCATGTTAATTTACATCTACGATCCTTGCAGAGGAAGAGGTGGAAGGACCAAGAATTACAGACCAGCCTAGGCGACATAGCAAGTTCCAGGCTGGCCAGGGCTACAGAGTGAGACCCCATCTCAAAATTAACGGATAAACAAAAGAAAACAATGAAATGATGTTTGTAGGAAAGGCAGATAGAGCCGGAAATAATCATATTACATTAAATCAGATCCAAAAGACAAACGTCACATGTTTTCTCTCATATGTGGAATTTACATTTCTATATATGCATATTAAAGATGTATGATAAGAAAGTAGGAGAGAGCATTTGTTGGGATTAGAAAGAGTAGCTTGAGGATGAGGGAGTATGAGAGGAAAGTATTGGGCTAGTATAACCAAAGTATGATTTTGTGTGTGTGTGTGTGTGTGTGTGTGTGTGAGAGAGAGAGAGAGAGAGAGAGAGAGAGAGAGAGAGAGAGAGAGAGAGAGAGAGAGAGAGAGAGAGAGAGAGAGAATGTCACTATTAATTGTATGGGTAGTAGGAACTAATACAAATTCATAGTGTCTTAGAAAATGACATGTTACAAAAGATAGTAATAAGTAGTGATGTGTGGGAGGAAGCTAGTCCAGTGCATTGTTTAGCAATTCATGAAACGACCACTAGAGGGAGATGCAGCTCTTCTTTTTAAGTGATCTAAAAAATGACCCAAGATGCTAGATTAGATTAAAACAGTGTATGTTCATGATCCTTAGTGTAGGACAAATCTTCTTCTAGTTTCCTTTCCAGTTGCTGTACTCTGACGACAGCAATGTATGTGGAGTTACTTGAGTTTATAATTCCAGTTTACAGCTCATACGGTGGAGAAGTCGCAGAGGCAGAGGCTTGAGAGAGCTAGTCCCATCATTTCAACAGTCAGGAGCAGAGACAAAAGAATGCGTGCAGACTTGCTTATTTGCTTGCTTGTGCTCAGCTTTATTTCTAGACTCTTCCACAGTTCAGGGCTCCCTGCTTAGGGATTACCACCACCTGCAGTGGCTAGGGTGGGTCTTCCAGCATCAGTTAATTTAAAACAATCCTCCATAGCCACGCCCAAAGGCCAACCCAATGTAGAAAATTCCTCACTTGAGATTCTCTTCCCTGGTGATTCTTTCCCCCCCCCCCCCCCCCCAGAGCTGAGGACCGAACCCAGGGCCTTGCGCTCGCTAGGCAAGCGCTCTACCACTGAGCTAAATCCTCAACCCTTTTTTTGGGGGGGGGGGGGCGCGGTTTCGAGACAGGGTTTCTCTGTGTAGCTTTGCGCCTTTCCTGGAACTCACTCTGTAGCCCAGGTTGGCCTTGAACTCACAGAGATTCGCCTGCCTCTGCCTCCCGAGTGCTGGGATTAAAGGCATGCGCCACCACCGCCCGGCTTCCCTGGTGATTCTAAGTTGTGTTCACAACTAAGACTAACCTTCACAAGTCTCATATTCCTGGAAAAATAGCTTTTACTATTTCTAGAATACACTATTCCGGTACAGTAATCAGCTCATTCATTAGGAGTTACTGGGATTTCCTTAGCAGTGGCCCAAAGAAATCTGAGTGTGGGTCACATTAAGTGTATAATTAATACAATTATTAATTAATCATATTAATATGGATTAATATAACTAATTCATAACAAATAAATTTCTTTTTACTTATTTACCATGTGAACCTGCTCTCAGAGGCAACAGTTGATTTGATTTTTCTCTGATAAATCAACTGGTTATTAGATTAGGCACCATAGGCATTCGGTCTTCTAGTGAAATAAGGAGACTGATTGCATTCCTGTAGCCCCAGCTAGTTGGGGAGGCCGAGGAATGAACATATTTCAGCCCAAGCGTTTGGGCCAGCCCAGGCAACATAGACAACTTTTGTCTGAAAGAAAGGAAGGGAAAAAGAAATAAAATGAACGAGTGATGCTTTGAGGACATGAGACTCAAGTTAATTTACAATTCTTCCTTTGGAAAAACAGAGGCAATAATGAAATCCTTTCTTTTCAGAAGTCCCACACCAGGGGACTGAAGCGTCCAGGTCTGCGGAGGTGAGCAGGGATCCCGTAAACCCTTTTTCCCTTGGGAGGAAAACCCCGGAGAATGACGAGATTTCAGTGCTCTCTGAAGAGAAAGAATGTGTCGATTGGGAAACGCCTGAGTTTTTCAGGTACAAGGAAAGTAACGAGAGAGACACTTCAAGATCCTCCAGGGAGAAGGAGGAGGGGCGTGGCGAGTCACAAGTCCTGGCGCCGCATTCAGTTGGAAGAGTTGAGTACGAAGCTCTAACGAGTATCACATATTTAAGTGATGGAGAAAGATACGAGGAGCCAGACGATTCTCTGTACTTAGCAGAAGGGGAGTATCCAGAGTCTGTAGGGTACCCCGGAGATGTCGAGGCCATTGTGGAGGAAGGGGCCTCCGATGACCTGCGGTGCTTTGCATATGATGGTGAAGAGGACCGTGAGTATGAAGAAACCGTGGAGTTTTCTAACGAAGAAAGTAGTTGTGAAAGTTCGGAAAGCAGCATTTCATTGGAAGAGGAGGAGAAAAGCACTGAAGGTATGGAGACGGTGTGTGTAATTAATTAGACAGCTTATCAATAGACTAAGCAGGTGCCGTGATATACTGCAGAAGAGGCGATACAACTAATCAATTAATCGGAAATACGGCGTTTCTCTAACATGGATTTTCTCCAGGGAGGGATATTGAGCATGGAGTTCCCAGGTCTGGTGAAGTGGGAGACTCTGCAGGAGAAAGATTCAGTGTCCAAGGGAAATAGGTTTGAGGACCTCCTCTGGCTAGCAAAATCCGTGAATACTCGAACCCCTTATTTTGTCCAAGTCCATAGTACTAGGCCTAAACACCTTCCTGTGTAGTGGACTTCAGATCCATGACACATAGTCTTCTGATGTCCAGGGTAGCTATCATGTACCTGAGGATTACTTTGAGTTTCTGATTCCCCCTGCCTCCACCTCTAACACTGCAGGATTACAGGCATGATCCACCACACATGGTTTTCTTTGGTGCTAGACCCCTGTGCATGCCAGTCAAGCATCCTACCACCTAATCTGTAGCTCGAGTTCTAATTGGTCTTAATAATAAAAACCTGGAGTCAGATATGGGGTAAATGCTGAAAATTCAGACAAGTTAGGAGCAGCCAAAGTCACCTCTTATCTCCACAAGACCGAAAAAGGGTTGACTTCCTGTCTCCACCTGCCTTATATTCCTCTCTCCGCCTAGTCATATCACTTCCTGTCTGTCTGTACAGACTTCCAGACCTCTATGGTTAACTAATGGCTAGCTCTGCCCTCTGGTCTTCAGGCACACTTTGTTAGAGCACAACAAAACATTACCCCTAATCTACATCCCCAGCCACTAGCCATTGACTTTAGACATTGCTTTCTGTTTTTGGATTAAAGCACCTTCATTTTAGTGGCTTCATAACTGGAAAGAAATTGGGTTTTACAATTTTTAGTTTTAACCATTGAAGTGGAGATCATCAGTAGAGGAACTTACGGTGCATAGTTAAGGTCTCAGGATGTCTGGATTCAGTCCATAGATCACTATCCTGATGAAGAGATATTTACATGTGCAAACTTTTTTTGAGTACTGGAAGTATAGATTTATTAAAAAATGAAAGTAGAGTAGTGAACCAACTCTTGATTGTTGTCCTTTGACTGTAACGCATGTGTATTTACACACACATACACACACACATACACACACACACACACACACAACACTAAAAGTTTTGTACTAAAAGTACAAAAGTTTTTGATGTGAGAGTAAAAGTGTAGAATAGACTCCATAGAACAGGAGTCAGCTCTTCCAAAATTATGTCTCAAGAGCCTTTTCTTTTGAGACAAGGTCTTACGTATCTCAGGCTGTCCTCAAACTTACTATGTAGCCAAGAATGACTTTGAACTTCAGATACTTCTCCTACCTTCCAAGTGCTGAGATTATAGGCCTATTCTATCGCTCCTGTTTTTTTTTTTTCTCTTGTTTGGTTGTTTTTTTAATTTTTTATTTTTCAGTGCTGTGGATGAAAGACATGGATGACTTCATATACTTTAGATGAGCATTGTACCAACTAAGCGATACCCCAAGACCAAATCTGATACCTTACATTATGGAGGGCATGGTGCTACGTGTCTGTAAATCCCTGCATTTGGGAGGTAGAGACAGAATGATCAAAGCCATCCTGGTGCTGTGGGATGTTCTGTATGGCAAATGTGTTGCTGATTAGTCAATAAATAAAACACTGATTGGCCATTGGCTAGGCAGGAAGTTTAGGCGGGACAAGGAGGAGAATAAAGCTGGGAAGTGGAAGGCTGAGTCAGAGAGACACTGCCAGCCACCACGATGACAAACAGCATGTGAAGATGCTGGTAAGCCACGAGCCATGTGGCAAGGTATAGATTAATAGAAATGGATTAATTTAAGCTGTAAGAACAGTTAGCAAGAAGCCTGCCACGGCCATACAGTTTGTAACCAGTATAAGTCTCTGTGTTTACTTGGTCGGGTCTGAGCGGCTGTGGGACTGGCAGGTGAGAGAGATTTGTCCTGACTGTGGGCCAGGCAGGAAAACTCTAGCTACATCCTGGGCTACCTGTGAGACCCTGTCCCACACACCTGCACCAAGCTCTTGGTACCAACAAAAGAAAACAGATGAAACATCATGTCCTAGCTTGCCATCTGTCAAGAGTAAAACCTGCTTTGATTTTTCCTCTACACGTGCTATTTCTAGTAACTAGAAAAATATTGTAAAAATGGGAGATAAAGAAAAATAGAGACAGCATGTAATTTTTTTTAAAGCAGAGCAAAGTTAGATTTATTGAGGGAAAGTGAAGAGAATGCCCCAGAATATAAGGGGTTCCAAAGGAGGAATACCCAGTATGTAAGCTCTGAGAGACTGTTTAATTATATTTTATTTTGTGTGCATGTGTGTGAGCATGTGTACTATGGCATACATGTAGAGGTCAGAGGACAGCTTGTGGGAGTTGGTTCTTACCTTCTACTATGTGAGTCCCGTGGATGAGACTCAGGTTGTCAAGCTTATTAAGTATTTGTAGGGTAAAAAGTTTGAGCTCACTTCTGGGTTTTGAAAACCCACCAATCCTCAATCTTAAATACCCACCATTCCCTGAGCTCACCCCAAGCTCAAGACTTGAAATCCCACCAATCCCCACTGTGGAAATCTCCACCGTGGAAAATTCCACCTCCCAGAAACCCTATATAAGCCTGCCTCCCACTCAGTTCTCTGCTGCTTCTCACAGAGCAGAGGCAGCCACCCTCTGTGTCTTTCCCAATAAATCCCAATAACGGTTTGTTGTGTGGTGTAACTTTGTGGTACTCCTTGGCTCCCAACGGTCAGGATACTTTTCCCTTCAGAGCTGCAACATTTGTATGGAGGAAACCTTTCCCCCTTAGAGCTGTAACACTTTGATCCCCTCAGCTGCAACACTTGTACTGGGGAAACCTTTCCCCCTTATAGCTGTAACACTTTGATCCCCTCAGCTGCAACACTTGTACTGGGGAAACCTTTCTCCTCAGAGCTATAACACTTACACCTTTGGCCACTGAGAAACCACCTCCATAAAATTTGTCAGTAGTCATATTTTGGGGGCATTTTCTTGACTAATGGTTGATGTGGGAGGGCTCAGCCCACTGTGGGCAGTGCCACCCCTAGGCAGGTGGTGTTGAGTTGCATAAGAAAGCAGGCTGAAGGGCCGGGCGGTGGTGGCGCATGCCTTTAATCCCAGCACTCGGGAGGCAGAGCCAGGCGGATCTCTGTGAGTTCGAGGCCAGCCTGGTCTCCAAAGCGAGTTCCAGGAAAGGCGCAAAGCTACACAGAGAAACCCTGTCTCGAAAAACCAAAAAAAAAAAAAAAGAAAGCAGGCTGAGCAAGCCATGGAAAGCAAGCTTGTAAGGAGTCTTGCTCTGTGGCCTTGCTCCTGCCTCGAGTTCATGTCTTAGAGTTCTTTTTATGATAGACTGTGATTGGGACATGTAAGCTGAAAACCCCTTTCCCCTCCAAGGTGCTTTTGGTCATTGTCTTTATTACAGCAACAGAAAACAGACGGAGACACATACAATGCCAGATTAGTATGCATGCCTCTTAGAAGGAAAACAGGGCAGGAAGGGTGACGAAAACGAGACTTTCGTTTTGTATGGTTTCAACTTGCGGCAGTGAAATTGTCCATTCCATACTCTTCAGGGAGGGAAAGAGGTTCTGAACAAGGCAATAATGACCACTCTCTGCTTCACAGAAAGAAAAAGAGTATTCCAACATGTCCTGTCCTGTTTGAACATGGATAGAAGCAGAAAGCTTCTCCCCGATTTTGTGAAGCAGTTTTCCATGGATCGAGGAAGTGAGTGGACACCCGAGACTCCAGGAGACTTAGCTTGGAATTTCCTGATGAAAATTCAGGCATTAGACTTGACAGCCAGGGATTTTATCCTTCGGCACAAGATGGTGGATGAAGAGCGCGAAGGGGAATTGCTGGCTGGAGTAGAGAATTTAGCAATTGAAGACATACAAACTGTCCATCCCCTTGATGTCCTTTGTGCCTGCATGCTTTGTTCGCACAGCTCTTTGCAACGCGAAGTCATGTCAAACATGTACCAATGCCAGTTCGCTCTTCCCCTGCTGTTGCCAGATGCGGAAAACAACAAGAGCATCTTAATGCTGGGGGCCATGAAAGACTTAGCGCGGCACCCGATGCGGTCCTCGGGAGGACCCCCCAGGGAAACAGAAACATTTCTGAGTCTCATGAAGGTGCCTGTCCTCTCTTTCGTGCGACTTGGACACTGTAGCTTCTCCAAGTCCAGAATCCTCAACACGCTGCTCAGCTCCTCCCGACAGAAACCACACAAAATCTTTCTCCATCAGGATCTGTCTGTTCCTGTGCTTCCTCGGCAAATTTCTGATGGCCTGGTGGAGGTCACGTGGTGTTTCCCTGACAACAAGGAGCTAAAGGAATGTCCTCATGTTTTCCAAAAGCCTGTTGCTGTGGCCAACCTTCGTGGGGATCTCGAAAGCTTTTGGACACAGTTTGGTTTTCTGGTGGAAGTTTCCTCGGCCATGTTCTTTTTCACTGACTGCCTTGGTGAGAGGGAGTGGGACCTGCTAATGTTTTTAGGAGAAGATGCCATCGAGAGATGCTACTTTGTCCTCGGTCCCCAGGCCAAGGAGAGTGAGGAGGCTCAGATGTTCCAGAGGATCCTGAGTCTGAAGCCGTCACAGCTGCTGTTTTGGGAAGTGGAGGAAGCTGGAGATAGAAGGAAGACAATGGAGGCCCTTCAGGCTGCCCTCCAGGAAGTAATGTCCTCTTCACTCAGATGTGTGTCCCTAGAAGATATGGCCTCTCTGGCCAGGGAGTTGGGGATTCAGGTAGACCAAGACTTTGAAATTACTCCAGATACTCTTGTTTGCCCCAGAACAGCTGAAGGTGAGAACCAACAAACACGTCAGACAAAAAGCCCATCTGAAAGCCGAACTCAGGTGCCTATCATAGAGCCTGGGGCCCAATGTGAGAACAGCCAGAATGCTCGGAATCTGCAGCAGACTCCAGTATTCACGTCTTATCCAGTAGACCCATGGCCCCTGCCTACTACACTTGGAAGTAATTTTTACCATGCTTCCTTGAAAGCCCCCTGGGTTCCGAGCTCCCGCTTTGGGTCACAACAGAGAGCTAAGTGGTTCTGTCCTTTGCCCCATCAGAACACAAGGTTTCACAGCAGAGGTAAAAGCTTTGGTATTCAGTACTTCCAACCCTGGAGATTTTATTCAGGGGAAGGATTCATGAAATATTCAGGGACTCCTCGGGGGTATCATTTGAGTGGAAAATTTGGGAGGTCACAAAGACAGACTTCTCATGTACGGACCCATCCTGAGAGCCTACAGGAAGCAAGAACTTTTCCAAGGTCTGGGACAGTGGCCTCTCTTGTAGGTCACTCACATTCTCCAGGTTCACAAGCAGCAAAAGCAGCCGGGAAGCCACAGCCTATGAAAGCCTGTGCCCAGGGGATGCAGCTGACTGAAGCAACTGGAACATCTATGAGGACAACATCTCATATTAAGTATCCTCACCCTCCATCCTGTCAGCCAGCAGGAGCCAGTCAAGAACGAAAAATACCTGTTTCTCATCAAGGATCTCAACGAGTAATAAAGGGAAGGCCTTCAGAGCCAGCTTTCCAACCAGGGTCTCAATCCACATCTGGGAGTAAACTTTCATCTACTTCCCAGTTCAACTCCCATCAACCCAAGTTCCAGGTCAAACACTTTGAGCCCATTCAACCTTCTCAGAAAAAAAACCTTCATTTCCAGCCTTCCCAGGCTAAACTTACTCATCCCCAGCCCTCCCAGGCTAAACTCACTCATCCCCAGCCCTCCCAAGCTAAACCCACTCATCCCCAGCCCTCCCAAGATAAACCCTCTCATCCCCAGCCCTCCCAAGATAAACCCTCTCATCCCCAGCCCTCCCAAGCTAAACCCCCTCATTCCCAACCCTCCCAAGCTAAACCCACTCATTCCCAACCCTCCCAAGCTAAACACCCTCATCCCCAGCCCTCCCAAGCTAAACCCTCTCATCCCCAACCTTCCCAAACTAAACCCACTCATCCCCAGCCCTCCCAAGCAAAACCTTCCTCATCCAGATCTACTCAGTTCAAGCCACATAGACCCCATCAGTCCCAATCAAAGCCTTTTCAACCTAAATCTACTCAACATTCCTCATCGCAGTCCAAGCCTTCCCAGGCCAAGACCTACTACCCAAGAGCAGGGAAACGTTAAAGAACATACCCCAGAGACCCATGAGGTATGTTCTTTACATATTCTGTTCCTCTCATATAACAGTCTGAAGAAGAGTTTCGGTGGAAGACTGATAAAATGAGCAAAACAGAAAAAATTTATGCCAAGTCTAAGTGCATAGTGAAGTATCTAAATGTGGAAAATGTGAAAGTAGTTAAGAGTAGGGTCTGATTGGGCAAGGTGGCACACACCTGTAATCCTGGCACTCTTGAGGCAGAAGCAGTCAGATCTCTGAGGCTAACCTGGTCTACATAACAACATAGAAAGTTCTAGATCAGCCGGGCGGTGGTGGCGCATGCCTTTAATATCAGCACTTGGGAGGCAGAGCCAGGTGGATCTCTGTGAGTTCAAGGCCAGCCTGGGCTACAGAGTGAGTTCCAGGAAAGGCACAAAGCTACACAGAGAAACCCTGTCTTGAAAAAACAAACAAACAAAAGTTCTAGATCAGTCAGAGTACATAATGAGATCCTGTCTGAAAAAGAGAGAGAGAGAGCCAGGTGGCAGTGCCGCATGCCTTTAATCCTAGCACTCGGTAGGCAGAGCCAGATGGATCTCTGTGAGTTCAAGGCCAGCCTGGTCTACAGAGCGAAATCCAGGACAGGCACCAAAAACTACATAGAGAAACCCTGTATTGAACCCCACCCCCAAAACAAAAGAGAGCGAGTAGGACTGCTGTGGATATTGCTTTGTATAAATAAAATGCTGATTGGCCAGTAGCCAGGCAGGAAGTATAGGCAGGACAAGCAGAGAAGAGAATTCTGGGAAGTGGAAGGCTGAGGCAGAGAGACACTGCCAGCTGCCACCATGAGAAGATGTTAAGGTACTGGTAAGCCACGAGCCACATGGCAACTTATAGATTAATAGAAATGGGTTAAATTAAGATATAAGAATTAGATAACAAGAAGCCTGCCAGGGCCATACAGTTTATAAGTAATATAAGTCTCTGTGTGTTTACTTGGTTGGGTCTGAGCAGCTGCAGGACTGGCGAGTGCGAGAGATTTGTCCTGACCGTGGGCCAGGCAGGACTGGAGAAAACTTCAGCTACATAGGACCTAACATCAAGCCAACAAGATCAGTCCAGAAGGCATCATTAATTAGACTTGGTAGGTTACCAAAAACAGAACAAAACCCAAAACTAAACAGGAAGGAGGGGGTGGGTGTCAGGCTAAGCGGGAGTAGGGAAGAGCTGGGGATGGACATGATCATTGTATGTATGTATGAAACTGTCAAATAATAAATGCAAGATGGAAAAAGAATAGGACCTAAGGATACATAAATTAATTGAATCCAACATTTCTTACTAGGTAAGGTGTGGTTTGACCCCAGGGGAGTTGGTGGGATAGCCACATGTATGAAGAATGGAGTTTCAGTGTAATGTAAAGTGATAAAAATATGGAGCTCAAATTATCTCAGTGTTGAAGAAAAACTGCTTCAGTGGTCTCTTGGTTTGGGGTTTATGACCAGCCACTGAGCAGAGACCCTGCACTATTGTACCAGTTAAATCAACTTGCTTGTGGTAATAGCCCCAATTTTCATACCTGATAAGACTATCTCACTTGGTCCTTACACATAGAAATAATGAATGTTCAACAAAACACATAATTTTACATGTACATTGGGACTGATTTATGTATTTTTCATATTTTGTATATAATAGCTAAGAAAATTTAGCTCATTAGAGGTTCTGATATTATATTTTTAGTTTAATTATTTGAAATCAGAAATGTGTTAGTGAGTTTTTAATTTTAGAGTTAAGTTGAAAAGATTAAGATGAATTTACAAAGAGTGTAAGTAATGTTTGAGAGGATGTATGGTTCAGAGGAATTAAAATTTTCGTAAATTCATATTGTTCTGAACATTTGGATAACTTCTGCTAGTTAGCAGTGTTAAATAAAAAGAATAAATTCAATCCAGATATTTAACTGGAGCTTCTCTAAGTTTTTAAGTGATACCAAATACTGAAAAAGGCTACATTAGCTGAACATGCTGGTACACACCTTGACCTTAACACTTAGGAGACTGAGGAAGAGGGATCGAGGTTCAAGCCAGCAGCACATAGTGAGACCAAGTCTCAAAAACCAAAAACAAGCTGCCTTAAGGTAGATGTGAAAATTTACCTCATTTAGAAATAAAGTAAGATTATAAATTGGACTAAACATCTCAGTTTTTGAATTTGACTATTTTTTAATTTAAAATTTTAATTTTATTTTTTACAGTGTATGTATAGTGTGTGTGTGTGTGTGCACACGGATAACTTCATGAAGTCCATTCTTTCTTTCCACGTTTATGTGTAGCCAGTGCTTTTACCTGCTGAGCTATCTTACCTGTCCTGTAAACCTTATTTTAAATAGTAAAATAGTGCCAAGGAATCAGCTAGGTCAAAAAAATTGCTTCCAAGGTTTCAAAGAAGAAAAATCATATTGACCAATGGATGGCAACTAAGCTTTTGAAAGGAATCAATAGTATCTGAAAATAGTCTAATATCACAAAAGTGTGTTTGTTTGTACACGTGTTAAATAATGTTGTATTTCTCTCTAATGGTCATTGCAAAGATGCAAAAGAAATGGAGGACAATATATGTGAATGTTTAATTTTACTCGTGAATTCTGTCTTTTAGAATGATAAATGTAAAAAATAAAATAAAAACAAAAATGCCTTAAGCCAGCTCACACCAACCTACAGATGAACAGGAAGTCTGGTCGCTGTGCTGGCACTTGCTAGTCTTGCCACCCTCTCCCAAACTCAGAAGTTTAGGGAAGAAAATGACTCAGAGTCAAGTTTGCCTGATGACTTTCAGACATAAAGTTCATGCTCCAGAAAAGCCTTAAATAAGCAGGACATAAAATATGTAAAATAACCCATGCATGTGGGCTGAGAAATAGACAAATGTCAGTGGTGGATGACCTATGGGATTATACATACCCGCCCCCAATACTCAGCCCAAGCTGTAAAGTAGGAAGGGATCTTTATTCAGTGCAATACAAACTGTTCCTTGAGCTCAATTTGTCTGCCCCCACCTCCTTTTGTCTTGGTTGCCACCAGACCATGCAAGATTGTGAAATAAACTGAGTGACTTTTACTACTCAGTCTCCAGTGCTCTTTGTTATAAATTGAGGATCCTTATTCTCACAATAAGAAAACATGAAAATCGCCTGCTGGGCATATTAATACACACATGTGATTTCAGCACCAGGGAAGCAAATTGGAGTGCTAGCCCACTCTGGAATGTCTTAGGGTTTCTATTGCTGATTTAAAAAAAAAAAAGAAGACATCAAGATAAAACACCAAGACCCCAAGGAACTTGGGGAGGAAAGGGTTATTTTTATTTCCACTTTTACACTACAGTTTATCACTGAAGGAAGTCGGCAGGAATTGATGCAGAGGCCTTGGAGGAGAACGCTGCTCCTCATGGCTTGCTCAGCCTGTTTTCTTATAGCGTGCAGGATCACTAGCCCCAGGATGGTACTGCACATCAATCATCATTCAAGAAAATGCACCACAGGCTTGTCCACAGGCCTATCTGGGGAAGGCATTGTCTCAGTTGGAATTCCCTCTTGTTATGGGGTAAAGACCCAAAGACCACTCAGCATGATCTAAGGACCAAAGTTCCAGTTGAGAGTCTGTACTGAGTCTGCTGCCGCCTGCCTGAGGAAAAGCATGAAAAGCATTTGCACAGGGGAGGCCCGAATGCACCTTATTGGACGTTTTAAAGACAAAGAACATAGAAAAACTGCATCCTGGAGGGCAGTTGCAGGGGGAAGCAAACAAGCAATTTAACAAGAGCCAAGAGCATGCAGTAAGCTGGGGCATTTTGATCCCACGTTTCTAGGGTTGGGTGCTTTCCGACAGGGCTTTTCAGGGCAGGGGGAAGAGACCCAAGATGGCTTCAGCTGAGACGAGATGGGGAAACCTTTTCCCTATTACACTCTTCCCAAATGAGTTGACCTTGTGTCAAGTTGACCTTAAATAGGACAGGCTATTTAGTGAGACATTGTCTAAATAAATAAATAAGTAGTTAATGACTAGAAAACTTTGATGTTGAACTGAGGATATGACTCAGTCAAGAGCTTGTCATAAAAACATGAGGACCCATGTAAAAGGCTTGGCACAGTGGTGCACATTTGTGACTCCAGCACTGGTTTGGCAGGGTAGAGGGCAGATAGGAGGATCCCTGGAGCTTGCTACTCTACCTGTATTAGTGAGTTTCAGGTTCAGTGAGAGACCCTGCCTCAAAAAATAAGGTGGAGAGCAATTGGGAAAGACACTCAACCTCAACCTCCTACATAAACCACACACACCTAAATAAATAAATATTTGCTTTAAAAGTAGAATCCCTCATTTGAATATACTTTTTTTTTTGTTTAAACTTTTTTTTTTTTTTTTTTTTTTTGCTTTTCGAGACAGGGTTTCTCTGTGTAGCTTTGCGCCTTTCCTGGAACTCGCTTTGGAGACCAGGCTGGCCTCGAACTCACAGAGATCCGCCTGGCTCTGCCTCCCGAGTGCTGGGATTAAAGGCGTGCGCCACCACCGCCCGGCCCTGTTTAAACTTTTGAAGTGAATGATAACTGATTTTTGTTAGAACCTTCTCTGAATCCTTCCTCAGGGTTAGAAATTGTTGGACAAAAGCAAGGCTTGGGGGTACATCCCTTTAGTCATAGCACTTGGGAGGCAGAGGCAGGCAGATCTCTGTGATCTGTGAATTCAGCGTCAGCCTGATCTACATAGAGATTCCAGGCCAGCCAAGAAGACTTAGAGAGACCCTGTCTCAAAAAGAAGGGAAGAGGGAGATGAGGAGGAGGGGGAGAGGAGGAGGAGGAGGAGGAGGAGGAGGACTACTTCTTTTTGGGTCATTATCACCAGCCAACTTGGTACCAATCTGGGTCTTGGCAATACCTATGTTATTCAGCTGGAAGATCATGTAATATAAGGCTTCTTATAAAGAGTTCAACCAAGTACAAACAGCAAAATATAAGGGAGAGCGCAGCAGCAGATCCAGTGAAAGCAGAGCGTCATTCTCTCGCCTATGTCTCTAGGAAGAGGGGAAAATGACCTTCCTGCTCAGCAGCTGTGTGCAATGTGAGGCAGAAGGGAAGAGACTGAAGAGGGCCATCTACATCTGCCTTCCCAGCCATCCCTTGAGGTATCTGATGTGTGTCACTTTCCTCTGGCACAAGTGGCATGAACAGAGAAAGTTCTCCATGTTGCAAACCCAACCAGACATCAAATGTTCATCCCTACTATCTTGATCATAATTTGCTATTTACTATAGGCTATGGGATAGAAATCATTCTGGTGATGGGGGTGGGAGCAATTGACAAGCAGATTTTGAATGATGTTGCAGTGAGAGTTTAGATAATGTCCTCTTGAGTATAAGATTGCCATTGCAGTTTTTTTTTTTTTCTGCAGGTTTTTCCTGCTCCGGATTCTAAAGTATATATGTAAGGACTATAGTGGTTTCTGTCATTCTGCAAACTAAACTCTCCTCTGTAATCCAAACGTCAAATGCAGTGTTCTTCACACTCCTGGGAAGTTTTCTGAAATTCTAAAACTGTGACTTCAAAAAACTGTGAATGCTTCTAAAAGTCACCTTTTGTTGTTATTAGAACTGCATATTGGCCGGGCGGTGGTGGCGCACGCCTTTAATCCCAGCACTCAGGAGGCAGAGCCAGGTGGATCTCTGTGAGTTCGAGACCAGCCTGGTCTACCAAGTGAGTTCCAGGAAAGGCGCAAAACTACAGAGAAACCCTGTCTCGAAAAACCAAAAGAAAAAAGAAAAAAAAAAAAAGAACTGCATATTGCTGAGTTCCACCTTGGGGTTCTGATGGTAGGTCTGGGGTTGGCCTGGGAATTCTGCCTCTCAATGGGAGCATCTCTACTAAGGCAGGAGACCTTGGGCCATGCTGAAAAGTGCAAATACAGCATGGAAGGCAAACCTGATTTTTTTGTGATCAGAAACACCGTGATATCTATTTTTCATCTGGACCAGGAATCTGGGCCAGATCAGTTGCTTTTTGTGAAGCCTCTCATAAGTTCATTACATCTCCTGGAAAATGGAACACTAAAAGCTGGTGTAGGGACATAATAATGAGTCGAAAACTTTACATTTAAGATCAAGACTAAAGGTGGAGATAAAATTCAGTGGTAGAGTACTTGTCTAGCATGCTCAAGACCCCAAGACTGACGGAAAAACCAAACAACAACAACAACAACAAAAACCCCAATATTTTTCTAACCATGGATTGCTCTCTTTACAAAGCTTTCATTTTTTTTAAATAGAAAAGTTATGTGTATAAGTGTTTAGCTTGTGCATATGTGTGTGCCCTATGTACGTATGTGTGCATGCAGTGCCCGAGGAGGTCAGAAGAGGGTGTTAGATCTCCTGGAACTGGAGTTACAGAATATTGTGAGTCTCCACGTGGGTGCTAGGAATCAAACCTGAGTCCTCTAGAAAAGCAGCCAGTGCTATTAAACTTCAGAACTATTTCTCCACTCCCCATATTTTCCTTTCTTACACTAAAACCAAAATCTTGTGGCAGGGAATTGGTGGGCAATGAAAAAATTCACCTACATCAGAGCAGAGGAGAAAAATACAAATTGTGTTTTTGTTTTGTATACTGCAAGAAAAGAGTGGGCAATGGCAATAATAGATCATGGTAACTTTCATTTGAGAGCTGTCCTCCACATTTCGGTACCCAACAATAATTCTACTGTGCAACTGAGGGTGGTCCTGATGTCCTGATTGGTCATTGTTTGTCTCTAGGAGAGACGTGGGTTCTGCGGTACTGGGTCACACAGTTAATTTAGATTTACTGTGCTCTGTCCTATCATTTCACTGCTGCTGGGTAGGCCCAAGAGGAATCTCTGTTTCTTTTATGATATTAGGAATGCTTCAGACACAGGCTGTGTTGTCTAACTCCCTGACAGGATGCATTCTCTTTTTCTGTCTCCCATTCATGGCCTTCTCTCCACAGTAATTTCCTCCATAAATATTTCAGTAGATATATCTAAGAAGGATTTAAAAATATAACCAGAATGTCATTGTAATACCAAAGAATGAGCAATTATTTCTTAATATCACCTAATGTGTTATTAAACATGTTTGCATTTCTCAATTGTCAAAAATAAGCTTACACTTGCTTTATTTAAATTAGGTTCCAAATACAGAGCCCTCCTCCTCTCTGGAAAGCATGCTATCATCTGAAGTGCTGCTGTGGGTGATTAACTGATAAACAAAGTGCTGATTGGCCAGTAACCAGGCAGGAAGTATAGGCGGGACAAGGAGAGAGGAGAATTCTGGGAAGTGGAAGGCTGAGGAAGAGAAACAGCCACTGTCATGAAAAGTGAGATGTAAAGTACTGGTAAGCCACAAGCCACATGGCAACTTATAGACTAATAGAAATGGGTTAATTTAAGATATAAGAACTAGATAGCAAGAAGCCTGAGCCATTAGGTCAAACAATAAGTGTCTGTGTTTATTTTATAAGTGGGCCGCGGGGCTGTGTGTTTGTGTGTGTGTGTGGGGGGTCTGGGCTTGGCGGGACCCGCAGAGAAACTCTCCAGCTACAAAGAGCTTCCCCCTTTCCTGTCTGGGGATGGCTGGCTCTTTCTTGTCATTCTTATTCAGAGATTATATTTCAGATTCATATTTTATACCATTTAGAATTCTCAGAGCACTTTGGGTATTCACCTCTCATTCTCCATTATGTTACTTTATATTAATGCTGCCCAGAATTTTTCTTTACCACTTGACTTTTAAAAATTGACTTCTTGTTAATGCAAAATACAGCTGTCACTTTAAATGGAATGAGATAATTTATTCTGGAGTTAAATACCAGTGACCATGGCCCTAGGAACATGGACTCAAGTTACCCTTAATAACATGTTCCAATTTAGTAACAGTTTCTTGATATTTTATAATAGAACAAAAGACAGTAATAAACTAAGGCACTTAAAAATACTTTAGATGGAAGATCAGGTATGTGGGTTACAATAAAGGAGGGAAATCTCTGTGAGAGGATGCAGCTGTATCTGATGATGTTATTAGCCTTTGGATTGGCTGGTATTGAGTCTTGTTTGAAC